CAGCCGGGCGCGGTGGCTCACGCCTGTAATCCTAGGGCTCTGGGAGGCAAGGCGGGAGGATTGCTCCGAGATCAGGAGTGAACCAGCCTGAACAAGACGGACCCCTCTCTACTAAAAATAGAAAGAAATTAATTGGTCAACTAAAAATACATATACAAAAAAAGAAAATTAGCCAGGCATGGTGGCACATGCCTGTAGTCCCAGCTACTCGGGAGGCCTGAGGCAGGAGATCGCTTGAGCCCAGGAGTCTGAGGTTGCTGTGACGAGCTGACACCCACGGCACTCCACTCTAGCCTGGGCAACAGAGTGAGATTCTGTTTCAAAAAAAAAAAAGAAAATGAGATCTCCATGTGGGCAGATGAATAACTGTATCCACATTAAAGACTAATGTAACAGAAAACACCCAGCATAACAATGCACGCTGTTCTGCAGAGCCGTACTCCATCTGCACTGATTTTGTTTCATGGGCAGGGTCACGGGGTCACGGGGTCACGGAATTCCCAGAGCTCCGTCCCCAGACAGTTGGAACGCGTTAGCCTTTGCGGTTAGATTGCGTTTCCCGAGGAACCCTTCTCAGCGCGCAGCAGAAAGAAACGCCCAGGTAGTCTCTGAGGTGGAACCCAGAGGCAGGTCGTGATGGGGAAGAACCACCGAGCAGGACGAGGAAAGCGGGGCCAGACGCCACGCTGAGCAGCCTTCCCCCGACCCCAGCAGGCATTAACTGAGTGCCCAATGTTTGCATGACCGGGGGACACGCTCAGCCTCCAGGGCCTTGAAGCCTGTGGAGGGAAGCGAGATTTCCAGTAGGGGCCAGGATGGGGGACCCCAGATGAGGGGCCGGTCTACCCGTCCAAAACAACAGACAGGGCCCTCGGTTCTCCCATCCTGTGTAATGGGCACCCAGCACCTCTCCAGCATCTGCAGGTCCGAGAGTTCTAGATTGGCTCTAGAGAGAGCCTAGGGTGAGCGATTCCCAAAGCGGTGTTCCTTGGAACCCTGAGCACTCCACCGCCGCACCCCACCACCCAGCTTCACTGGGCGTCTCATTAAAAAAAAAAAATTGAGACAGAGTCTCACTCTGTTGCCCAGGCTGGAGTGTGTCCGTGGCGTCAGCCTCCGCTCACAGCAGACCTCAGACTCCTGGGCTCAAGCGATCCTCCTGCCTCAGCCTCCGAGTAGCTGGGACAAAGGCAGGCCACCATGCCACGCTAATGTTTTTTATATATTTATTGTTTGGCTAATTTCTTTCTATTTACGAGTAAGACGGGGTCTCGCTCTTGCTCAAGGCTGGTCTTTGAACTCCTGAGGCTCAACGATCCCTCCCTCCGCCTCCTGGGATTACAGGCATGAGCCACCGCGCCCGGCTGACCTCTGATAATTTTTAATATTGGAGTCCCTTGCAGCAAGTAGCTTGAGAACAGGGTTCTGGCTTCAAAAGATTTAAAAACAACTGATACAATCCTAGTGTGTGTGTGTATACTATACGTGCAAATGTATCAAATATGCAAATTCTATGAAATATATGAATATTTTTACATCTATGTCTATCTTCTAAGGGAAGAATTTCGAAGTGGCTTATAAAACTGCCTATGGCATAATGAACAAGAACTTTTTAGTGAACAAATTGGAATGAAGGGAAGATGAACATGAACTCGTGAGATTATTTTGAGAGAAAGACAAAGAGGTGTGCGCGGACAGTCTTGGACAGTTGTAAGGTCAGATGACTGTGATAGCCCCATCCCCCCACCCCCAGAGGCCTCCCAGCCCAAACCTGTATATTTTTTGTTTGTTTGTTTTTGAGACAGAGTCTCACCCTGTTGCCCAGGCTAGAGTGAGTGCCGTGGCCGTCAGCCTAGTTCACAGCAACCCCCAAACTCCCTGGGCTCAAACGAATCCTCCTGCCTCAGCCTCCCTGAGTAGCTGGACTAACAGGCCATCGGCCACCATCGCCCGGCTAATTTTTTCTATATGTTTTTAGTTGGCCAATTAACTTCTTTCTATTTTTATAGTAGAGACAGGGTCTCGCTCTTGCTCGGGCTGGTCTCAAACTCCTGAGCTCAAAAGATCCTCCCACCTCGGCCTCCCAGAGCGCTGGGATCACAGGCGTGAGCCGCCAGGCCCGGCCTCAAACCCGTATTTGAAGATTAAAAATAGGGTGTCTCGGCCGGGCGCGGTGGCTCACGCCTGTCATCCCAGCACTCTGGAAGGCCGAAGCGGGCAGATCGCTCCAGGTCAGGAGTTCAAAACCAGCCTGAGCAAGAGTGAGACCCCGTCTCTACTATAAAAAAATCAGAAAGAAATTAATTGGCCAACTAATATATATACAAAATATTGGCTGGGCATGGTGGCGCATGCCTGTAGTCCCAGCTACTCGGGAGGCTGAGGCAGGAGGATCGCTTGAGCCCAGGAGTCTGAGGTTGCTGTGAGCTAGGCTGACGCCACGGCACTCACTCTAGCCTGGGCAACAGAGCGAGGCTCTGTCTCAAAAAAAAAAAAAAATAGGGTGTCTCTTGGGAAGCATCTGGTCCCAGGTCTGACACATCACGGAGACTGGGGACGTCTAAGCAAGACCTTCCTTCCTTCATTCATTCATTCATTCATTCAACAAACACTTTGTCATTGCCCCCCCACCGCCCGGGTGAGAGGGAGGGGGCAGGGACCGGCGTGGGGCGGTAAAGGGACTCACAGTCGCCCGGTGGGGGCCTCTGGGCTGGGCCAAGGAGGACGGGACTGTGTTCTTCGGGGACGATAAATATTAATGTCTTCACGGACAATCTTCGGCCGAAGCAGCTTTGGTCTCTTCAAGAGTGATCAGCGAAGGGTGATCCTTGTCTGATGCAGGGGATGAGTCAGCTGCTCCTCCTGAGAGGGTTTCCCCACCTCCCAGGCAGCCTGATTTTCCGGCTTTATCACGGCAGACTCCGGCAGGGCATGCTGCAGTGCTATTCCTGGCAGTCCTTGGGGAGGAGGAAGGAGATGAAGAGATGGGCAGCAGCCCATCCGCGGGGCGGCCTCCACGCCAGCCTCGGCTTGCCCAAGCCCCTGTGAGACACCGGAAAGGCCCCTGGTGGAAGGAATGCAGCCCCACCTGGGCGTGAGCCGACTCGACCATCCCTCCTGCCCTGCGCGCCCCGCGACGGCGCGCTGGGAGCGGTGGGATCCGTCAGCCCAGACGGCGTGGAGGGTCCCTGGGCAGGACCGTGGCAGCAGATGGCTGGGGCCGTCTGGCAGCCACTGTGCTTAGACGGGCTCAGCCTCCTCGAAAAGGCTGTTGGGCGCCCAGGTGCAGAACTCCTGGTTATATTATTTTTTTCTTTTTTTCTTTTTTTGAGACAGTCTCCCTCTGTTGCCTGGGGCTGGGAGTCCTGTGGGTCAGCAAGCTCACAGCCAACTCACAAAACTCCTGGGCTTCAGGGATCCTCCTGCCCAGATACTCCCGAGTAGCTGGACTACAGGCATGCACCACCCAGCGCCCGTAATTTTTTCTATTGTATATTTGTAGTCTGTCCAGGCTGAATTTCTTTCGTATTTTTTAGTAGAGCGGGACGCCCGTGGGTCTCCTCGCCAGGCTGGTTTCAGAACTTGCGTGACTTCCAAGCGATCCTCCCCTGCGTCGGCCCTCCCGGAGTAGCTGGGACTACAGGCATGGCCGCCATGCCTGGTTAATATTTTTTATATTCTCTAGTTGTCCGCTATTTCTTTCTATTTTTAGTTAGAGACAGGGGGGGGCCTCGCTCTTGCTTAGGCTCGGGTCTTGATTCCTGACCTCCGAGGGATCCTCCCTGCCTCGGCCTTCCAGAGTGCCGGGATAGACAGGCGTGAAGCCACGGACGGCCGCCGGCAATCGTTGGGCAATTTAAAGCCTTCCAACTTGAGCAGATGAGACTGTACTGGTCGCTGGAATGACGGACTCAAGCCGTGACTTGGAGAGCGCAACTTCAGCTCGTGTCCTCGGGAGTCTTGGGTATGTGGTCCCACCGGCCGCAGGCAGTTACCAGCCGGCCGGCCGCCACCGCCCCCTATGCCGTCTTCTCCCGCTGCGCTGCTCATCCGGCGGTCTGGGTTCTGTGCACAAGTGCATCTGCTTTTGGGAGGGTCTGCGGTGGATATGTTTCGTGCTCACCGGGACCTGCCTGAGGTTCAGGGTTGGCAGGAGCACCAGGGTCTGAGCCAGGAGATCAGGGAGGCCTCCCCTGGGCCCGGTCTGGCAGGTGAGCCCCCGTGGGGCCCGGGCAGGTGCCCCGCCTCGGCTCCAGAGTGCTGGGGATGACAGCCGCGGCCACCCACAGACCCGGCATCCTTCTAGTTAGTTATAAGAACTAGTCCTGCGCGGAACGCTTTGTACTTATGAGATGACAATCTAGCACAGGCCCGGTTCCGGCCAGGGGCTCTTGTGTCTGGCCGCCTAAGAGCTCGCAAGAGCGCATGGTCATGTAAATAATCAAATGGCAGGCTTGGGCCGTGTGGCTCGCGAGCTGATACATACCCAGACTTCCTGGGAGGCCGAGGGCAGGAGGATCTCCTCGACGGTCGCGGAGTTTCGAACACCAGCCTGACGCAAGAGGGAGAGAACCCCCTGTGTCTGCTATAAATAAACAGAAGACTTAATGGCCAACTAATATGTTAAGAAAATAATTTAGCGGGCCCCATGGTGGTGCATGTTTGTCAGTCCCAGCACTCAGGAGGGCTGGAGGCAGCCGAGGACTCCGCTTTGATTGCCCAGAGAGTTGGAGGTTGCTGTGAGGGGAGGCTGACGCCACGGCACTCACTTAGCCTGGGCAACAAAGTGAGACTCTGTCTCAAAAAAATTAAAATAAAATAAAATACCAAACGGCAGCCACAGAATGTGCTCCGGATCACCAAACACCACCAAGCGCGCAGCAGGGGGTGGGTGGGGGGCCGAGGCCAGGCGGCCCCGGTCTCGGGGAGTCTCGCCATCCCCTGTCTGCCCGCCCGTGAGCTGCCGGGTGCTAACCTTGCCCGTTTTCTCCTCCCCGCAGGCACGGGCTGCAGCCACGCCTCGGACCCGCTGCTAACCCTGCTGCTGCTGGCTCTGCACACGCTCCTGCCCCGGCTGGCGGGGCAATGACACGCGTGGGCCGCCCAGCCTGGCGGCGCACACGCCTGCCCGGACCCTGGGCGAGGACCCGGTGCCGGACGGACCCAGAGACTGAGAGAAGCATGAGGAAGTCCGCCTTCAAAATAAACAGATCATATTTTTGGGGGAAGTCACCCCAACGTAGAAGGAGCCCTGAAGCAAGGCATCTAGTTTCCAAATAAGACAGAGTGTTTCGGGCCGCGCGGCGTGCACCTGCCCGGGGTCCACGATTTCTCTTCTGCTCCGACGCGATTTTCTTTTCCACACCTTCCCTCCAACTCTCCATTCTGCACGGACCGTCCAGCATTTATTTACCTTTAGGGTGATATTTAAAATCCTTGTCGTCGGGTCAAAGCCTCTCTGACAAAGCGACATATTTTTAGTAGGTTGTTGCGTTCAGGATTTTTTTTTTTTATTTACTTTTTTTTTTGGGGGGGGGTGCCTTTCTTTTTTATTAAATTATTTCTTTTGGAGACATTTTGATTAAAAAGAGAAAAGATATACATCGTATCGTAATTAAAATTCACTGTCAAATGATATTTATTTTTAAATAAAAGATTGGAAACAAGGTCAGACACTTGTTTATACACCGTATTGTATATTGCTGAATAACAGTTGAATAATAAAAAAAAAAAAGCAACTTTGCAATAACGTTTCTACAGCCCTGTGTGAATGTCCAGCCTCAGAGCTCACGGCACCTCCTCTTCTTTGACAACGAGTGCCATCTGGGCTGGAGGTCACCCAGCAAAAGGGGACGGCCCAGGACGCCTGGCCGAGGCCACACTACCTGGACGGGAGCCATTGCCCAGCTTCCCTGAGAGACAGGGGACCTCGTGGAGGCCGGGGCAAGAGGCCCGGGAGGAACGGAGGTCGCTAGGAAGAGGCGTGGTTTAAACCAAGAGCCACTCTCCCCTGTTGGTGTAAACTAACGGTGCAAAGCAAGCGTCCGCCCACTAGGGGGTATACAGCAGGTGCATTTGCTCATGTTGGCTGCACTGCTAGCTTGAAGAGGGAATTTGGAGAGAGGACGGGGCGTTCCACCTTCCCTTCCCGTGCGGCCTCTAGAGATTGTCTCAAGCCCCAGGAATCTGTGTGTGGGGGCAGGTTACACGTGTCTTAAGGAAATCAACACGCCCCAGGTCATTCCATGACAGGCTCCCATTTAATAGCCAGATCAAGGCGGGCGCGGTGGCGGCTCACGCCTGTCATCCCAGCACTCTGGGAGGCTGAGGCGGGCGGATCGTTTGAGCTCAGGAGTTCGAGACCAGCCTGAGCAAGAGCGAGACCCGTCTCTACTAAAAAAAAAAAAAAAGAAAGAAAGAAATTAGCTAGACAACTAAAAAAAAATATATATATATATAGAAAAAATCAGCAGGGCGCGGTGGCACATGCCTGTAGTCCCAGCTACTCGGGAGGCTGAGGCAGGAGGATCGCTTGAGCCCAGGAGTTTGAGGTTGCTGTGAGCGAGGCTGACGCCATGGCACTCACTCTAGCCTGGGCGACAAAGCGAGACTCTGTCTCAGGAAAAAAAAAAAAAATCATCCGGGAAGAACCGTGCTGATGGAGCGCTTTGCAGAAAAGAAGATGGAGAGACCACCTTCCCCCCCACACTCGATAAATGTCACTTCCCCTTTTCCTCTGTTTCCTTGCCAGAGATCTGCCCCCCACACACATTTCCTGGGAGGAGACGTGGAAGACAGCCATGTGTGGTGATGGCTTCCTGGCTGTTGCCCCTCGAGTTAAGTGTGTTGTCCAGACTGGTGCTTTGCTTTATTTAGTCTGAAATAAAATCACCATTGAATTAAAAAAAAAAAATACCAGCCCTGGAGCTCGAAAGGAAAAAAAAGTCCCTTCCCGGACACGGGGAGTTGGACGAGACGCTGTGCCCGGGAGTCTGGTGTGGGGCCAGGTCCCTGCAGGGGCAGAGAGCCGGGGAGCCGTGCCCAAGGGGGGGGAATAGGTGGAGCCGCCAGGGCTCCACCCAGGAAGCGCACAGGTGAGGGGAGGCAGGTGTGCTCTGCCCCTGGTTCTGCCCAAACAGGCAGCACCTCAAACACAGAGGAAACGGGTCCCTCATCTGCCTCCTGCGGGCCGAGCGCTTCCAGGAAGGAAGCTGCCGTGCATGAGGCTGGGCAAGTTCCCGGCAGGCAGCGGGAGCCTCCTTCCTCCCCTGTAACACCCTGATCCTCAAAGTGTGGACCCGGCACTGCCTGAGAACTTGTTGGAAATGCAGACTCCAGGCCTTCCACCAGACTGAGTGAAACAAGACCTGCATTTTTTTTTTTTTTTTTTTTGAGACAGAGTCTCGCTTTGTTGCCAGGCTAGAGTAGAGTGCTGTGGCGTCAAGCCTCGCTCACAGCAGCCTTCAGATCTCCTGGGCTCTCCTGCAATCCTCCTGGCTCAGCCTCCGCCAGTACTGCACACCAGGCACTCGTGCAAAACCACCCGCCCTGCCCGGCTCATTTTTCTTTTTCATCGTATATGAGAGTATATATTAGTGTGGGCCAATGAAATTTCTTTCCCTATGTTATTAGTAGGAGACGGGGGTTTTGTCGGTTTGCTCAAGCCGGTTGCAATCCCGAACCTCTCGACCCGAATCTCCCTGAAGAGCTCGGCCGCCCCAAGAGTGCTGGGTCAAAGCGTGAAGCCACCGCCTGGCCGCCCTGCCCAAGCATCCTTTAAATTAATTATTTGCGAGTTGAAGAAACTTCCCAAGTGT